GGAGGTCTGGCACACTCAAGGGGTTCTGCCTAGAGACTGTTGGGGCCGGAGCACCAATCTTGTGGATCTGTGATACTCTTCTTCCCTTTCATATTCTATCGCTGCTCTCATTTCTTACCCCTCTGCCAGGAATCCTGGCTCATGCGGGAGGGAGACCTCAATGGTTTGAGCATTGGCCTGCTAAACCCAGGGTTGTGAGTTCAATCCTTGAGGGGGCCACTTAGGGATCTGGGGCAAAAATCTGTCTGGGGATTGGTCCTGCTTTGAGCAGGGGGTTGGACTAGATGCCCTCCTGAGGTCCCTTCCAACCCTGAGATTCTATGATTCTGTGCTCCCCGTCGCTCATCTTTGCCTTCTCCGATGCTGCTTCATAGGCTCAGAACTCCTTTATCCTCCACGCGCCAGGTGCCCCTCTCCTTTCAAATCCCCTTCAAACTCCCTCCTGCTATAAAGCCTGCATATGATAATGTCGCCCTAGAGTGCGCTTCCGGATAGAACCAGTGCAGTAGGGGTTGCCTATTTAAAATGTAAGCGCCTCTGGGTAGGGCTCAGTATGTTGGTGATTAACTGCTGCCCAGGGACCAGTCTGGAGGGCCTTAGCACTACTCTAAAATGAAAAGCCTTGTTCTAAAGCAACTTCTTAGAGGGTTGGGATAGCTCAGTGGTTTGAGCATTGGCCTGCTAAACCCAGGGTTGTGAGTTCAATCCTTGAGGAGGCCATTTAGGGAACTGGGGCAAAAATTGTCTGGGGATTGGTCCTGCTTTGAGCAGGGGGTTGGACTAGATGACCTCCTGAGATCCCTTCCAACCCTGAGATTCTATGATTCTATGATCTTCTTTCCTTCCCTTTGTTGGGACTCTTCATGCAAAAATGTCATTAGTCCCCATTCTGCATTGACTGACTGGTACTGAGCAAGTGACCTGCTGGGTTTATGTGGCTTTCTCCAGGAAGGGGCCCTCATTTCCCCATGGGGAAGCCACCCCGACCTGCTTTTATCCTACCCCCATTTTATGGGAAGTAGCTACCTGTCCACATCTACAGTGACTCCATTAGGCTCTGGTGAGCAGCTCCTGGCTGCCTCTTCCCCTCCTCTGCTGCATCCCTTCTGGAAATGTGGTTTTGTAAGTGATAAAAGGCCAGTTTTCTAGCGTATACGTGGGTCATGAAGAGCAGAAATCTCACCTTCCTTCGCTCACTGAACTAACACGTCACTTCTAATAGGCCTGCCTTCTTTCTTTCCTTATCTTCCAGGCTATGGCTATCATTAATGGATCCCTATATGTTTTTGGAGGAACAACTGGTTACATTTATAGCACAGATCTACATAAATTAGACCTTAACACTAGGGAATGGATACAACTGAAACCAAACAACATGCACTGTGACATGCCAGAGGAGAGGTGAGACGCTGACGTTTTTATATTCCCTGCAAGCTTTCATTTGTTCCAAGATGCACATTTTGAAAGGAAATAGATGATAGACTTGATATGAAAAACTACTCTCTGCTCTAATGGCAAATGCATGATCTCAAGAGGGCTTTGTGACTAGGGAACACACTGTAACTTGTCTGAAGTGGGGAAAAATGGAAAAAGCTAATGGACGTGTTTATTAGCAATAGTCGTGTGTGTCTGAAGACTTGCACTTCTGGTGTATGGATCCCATGAAGTATGTGGCAAACGCCTCAATCTTGACACTAAAACTGGACTGCACAACACTAGAACAGTTGCAGGGCTCTGTGCTGGCTGATCGGTGAAGTGTGGGGGAGGAAAGGAGGCTGTATGTGACCCATCTCTCATCTGATCCTGTAATGTGATGTCAGAGATCAGAAGAAGATCAAGCTAGTTTTATGCAGGACAGTTGCAACAATACCTTACTTCTCTCAGGGTTTGGGTTTGCTGCCTGGGTTGCTCATGAAAGATCCCAAAGCACCCAAGTAAAACTTCTGCCACTAGAGACTGCTTTAGGACAACAGAGCTAGGTTGTATCGGCCTAAGCCACTCAAGCTAGTCATGTTTAGAATAGCTTTCAGTTCTGGACTGCAAGGGTGTTATTAACTTCTTGTGATGCTGGCTTTGCACCCTCAGGTACAGACATGAAATTGCACATGATGGTCAGAGGATTTATATCTTGGGAGGTGGAACTTCCTGGACTGCTTATTCCTTGGATAAGGTAAAGAGATCAAAATAAATAAATGAAAAGACCTAGGCATTTGGCAGTGGAGGGGTTGAGACAGAGCAGAGCACAGTCAGCACTCTCTCTTCATCCCCAGCATGCCATCCTAGTTTGACACTAGGGAAGGTGATAAGAATTGGGATTACCAGAAGAAGGGAGAAGAGCCTGTTATAAATGTACTCCTGGGGAAATTCGGCGCAACTATGCACATGCAGAATTCCTGTCCCGCGCAGATTTCTTTGCTTCCCTGTGGAAAAATGTCTTTCTGATGGGGAAGCAAAGGGAAGCCACAAGAGCGGTCACACGCCCTTCCCCAGCAGCACAAGCGCGTTGTTTCGGGCACCCGGAGCAGCCCACAGATTGGTAAATCATTGCGGGGGATGCCCTGCTGCTGGACATGGACCTCTGGGGCAGGCCCGGCACTTGCGCTGTGTCAGGATCGGGTGCAGCCTCACTGCCGAGTCCATGTCCTGGGGGGCGGAGGAACTGCAAGGTGATCTCCCACCTCTGTGCAGCCGGTCGCCTGTGTTCCCCACTGCCATGCTGGAGCCTCCCGAGTTTATTTATCGACAGATAAAATTTGCAGAATTTTTCTTTCTTTTGGGCGGCGAATTCCCTCAGGAGTATAAATGTCTGCATAATTTAAAATATTGAATTGTGAAGGAATGAGTTTACTACCAATTTGTTGTGGTGAATCCCAAATTAAGAAGTCATTTGGTAGATTCTCAGCAATCACAACAGTTTCCCAAAGTAACTTGTAGTTCTGTTGATAAGGATCAACTTCTTGACATGGTTAAAGAAAAACGATGTTCTGCTAGAACAACTTTCCAGATGTACCATATGTGCCAAACTAAGGAGGCATTGATTGGAATCATTAAAAGGAATTGAATGATATTGGGATTCAGGTGTGTGTCTGTCCTGTACTCCTTCTCCCCTCCACCCCTGAGTTGTGCTCAATTTCTAATGGTAAATACTTTGTCTTCACTTCTTCCTCTTTTTGTGGAGGAAATAGGTTTTAGATGCCAAGACACTTAATGGACAGGGAGAGGACTTTAAATGATGCTACATTTTCAAAAACTTCATATTTGTCACAGTTCAAATGATTTGTCCTCATCTCCCTGTTCTTTGTGCTTTGTATCTTTCTTCCTAGATAAGTATATCTTCATGCAACTAACTACTGCTGGGAGCGGGGAGAAGGGGAAATTATGTTTTTAAACAATAGAAATGTAAGACTGAGGTAGTTAAACTCTGTACTTCTTTCCTTCAACTGTGGGACTCTTTTTTCAGACTAGATACAACTATTACAGACTGTCAAACTTGTGTGTTGTGATGATGCTTTTCTGCCTGGATTTTATTGTGGGCACTGTTTTGTGATATCTCTTTGTGTCAAAACCAGGGTGAAAATTATTTATAGTGGCTGGCAAAGATAAACCATGCTTGGCACTGCGTATGGCAGCTGAAGATAGTTTCCTGATGCTCTAACGTGTTGCGTACCCTCAATTCTTTCTGCCGGCAATGGGACTGAAGGGTGCTCAGCACCAGACCAGGATTGGGTCTCGTGCCGGTAGCTCCCTCTCCCTATTAATTTTATCCTGACAGCACCGTATGAGCTAATGTGTCACCTTTGTCCTTCTTAAGATCCATGCATACAACCTTGAAACAAACACCTGGGAGGAAATTGCAACGAGACCTCATGAGAAAATAGGTAAGTTTGGGACTGCAGACTTCTTACTCTTTTATGTAAACAGGACGGCAGGGAAGATTGCCTCCTAGTAGCAGATGGCACTCAGAAGTTCAAAGCCTTTTGTAACGCTGCCGTGTACGAACAGGCCTGCTGTACCTAACTCCGCTCACGTCCTTACTCCAGCAGCTGGAACGGAGCGTTCTGAAGTCTTTTTAGCAGTTTTAACCTTGTTGTAAACTGGTAGAGTTGTAGTGGTCAACCCATCCCCAGAGCCAGAGCGGCTTGTCATTTTCCCCGCTCCTCCCAGAAAAAGCATCCCCCCAACTTCTGGAGTCTCCCGGCCCCTTTAGCAGTAGGGATGAGCCTAGCTTACAGATCCCTGACTCCTGTCATCCAGAGATCACAGCTGGAGGTCACAGCTGTGAGATCTTCTCCCCTGCCCCTGGAAAGTGGATTAGACTCACATTAACCACGTTGGCCCTTGTGGGGGAGGGAGAGTAGCTACTGCTGAAACCTGAAAAGTGGAGAATTTGGAAATTATGAACGTGGCAGCCATGTGGTGGGCATTTTAAAAGAAGGGAGAGGAATATATTTTTTTTCCTCCCCCAAGTGAAGGAACTGGCTTATATCTGTATGACCCAGCACTGAGCTGTTCCATGGCATTTAGATTTCTCAGTTTGATATTCATGACCATGCTCTCTTTGCAGGTTTCCCAGCAGCCAGAAGATGCCACAGTTGTGTACAAATAAAAAATGGTAAGAATAGAAATTGATCTGTTCCCATGCCTCATGTACACTTAGAGAACTTGCCCCAGCAGTGGTAAGAAATGGGATGGCCTGGTCTCTGTAATATGGGAAATGTTGTCTCAGATCCTACAGGAGACCCAAAGAAAAGCAACATTCAGATCTGTGTGTGTGTAATAAAGGGCCCAATTCTGCAAGGTATCTACCATCTTCTGTGGGGTTGAGGGGACAGCACCTCGTGGGATCAGCACCAGAGACTACAGTTTATCAAAAACCTTAACTTTCAGTGTCAGTGAAGTGCCACCACAGGAGGCGATACTACACATAGTAACTAAACTCTCTTGTGAACATCTTTGCTCAGTGGAGCCAGTTGGATGCAGCTTAAGGAGTGTCTCTTACTACTTCCGGTCATTTAATTTCTGGAAAAGAACATACTTCATTTATTAGGAATATGATTCTGAAGAGTCCAGAGCTATAGTGCAGCATATAAACTACTATCTTAGGCCTGGCCTACACTGGAGGCGGGGGATCGATCTAAGTTACGCAACTTCAGCTATGTGAATAATGTAGCTGAAGTCGACATACTTAGATCGACTTACCGCGTTGTCTTCACTGCGGTGAGTCGACTGCTGCTGCTCCCCCGTCAACTCCGCTTGTGCCTATCCCAGAGTACAGGAGTCAACGGGAGAGCACTCGGGGATCGATTTATCGTGTCTAGACTAGACATGATAAATTGACCCCCGCTGGATCCATCACTGCCCGCGGATCCAGCAGGTAGTGTAGACGTACCCTTCGGTGGTGATTCGTCTTTGACTGTATTACAGCCTCGATATAGAGCAACACGTACGGTAGCCTTGAATATATACAGCACTTTACAACATAGCCGATAACATGATCCACGCTTACAAATGAGAGTCCTGCCTCCCATCTGTCATTAACCTCTCTGCCCCAGAGTCAGAACTTTGAAATGGAATCCTTTAGTGGTAGAATCATTTTGGGGCTTATTGGGCACAGGGGCCTTTTCATGAAATCTGTGTGCGGTGAACGGATTAGATTAGATTAACAGACAGTAGCAGAATTGAGCCTGGAACTGCTCATGCGGTAACAAATGAGAGGCCATTTTATAAGCTTGCAAAGAAAACGCATAGAGCTTTCTTGGCTTGTGGTGGTGGAGGTTTCTGTTCTCTTCTCCCAACGCTCTCCAGGTGATCTCGCTACAAATCTTACTTGGCTCCATTGCGGAGTTTGCAAGGTAGCCTTGGCGGGGGCGGAGGGCAAGCATATGAGATCCATACTCACTCACTCCGTGATGAGCGTTGGCCTACAGCCTGTGAATTGCCTCTGACAATGTTTAGATCCTTTCTGTAGCCCCAGCAGTCCATGTAACACTTCTGCACTCCTAGTTCGGCAGCCACACAAGCTGGTTAAGTAATGATTCACGTGCAAATTCTGAAGAAATTAAAGTCAAAATAGTGACCTTCGACTTCCAAATCTTTCAACCGAGGCTTACGTGTTAAAAGAAATGGGAGCCAAATCAAACCACACAAATAACCTAGTCTCAGGTTGATTAAGCCTTTTTTAAAAGCAGCAACCCTTGAGCATGGGTGCTGCCCTCACTTTGCAGGCAGGGGTGATTCTATCTTGTACCTCACCACGTAAGCAACTGCTGTACTTGCCGTCTGGCTATTGGGGACACACGTGGGCTGGGAGGTGGTATGTGGATAAGTGAATGGGAGGGTAGGTGTCCACGTTGATCTGTTAGCTCTGGTCTCTACTGCGATTGTTCTGAGAAGCTCTTTATTGCTCACATTGATTGTAAAGTGGACGTTCTTTCTAGAGGACCAGTTGCTGATTTCAGTTAGTGTGTGTACTGTAACTCTTAAATGAATTGGCCATGGCCGATCATCATGCTAGATTGGTCTCTAAGCATTGTGTGGTTGTTGTCCCTCTTCTATAGATGTGTTTGTCTGTGGGGGATATAACGGAGAAGTGATATTGGGAGACGTCTGGAAGCTGAATCTTCAAACTTTCCAGTGGGTGAAACTCCCAGCTGTCATGCCTGAACCAGTTTATTTTCACTGTGCTGCTGTCACACCGGTAAGTGGCTGTAGTCTCTCCCTCCCCTAGGCCTTGTTAGATATAACTTAATTCATGCACTTACCTATTCGGACACTTGTGTGGGTCTGGAATATAGATTCCAAGGCGAGAAGGGACCATCGTGATCATCTCGTCTGACTTCCTGTGTAACGCAGGCCAGAGAACTTTCCTGCTAAAATTCCTAGAGCAGAGCTTTTAGAAAAATATCCCGTTTCGATTTAAAAATAGCCAGGGATGGAGAATCCACCACAACACCTGGTAAATTGTCCCAATGGTTAGTTACCCTACTGTTAAAAACATACACCTTTATTTCCACTCTGAGTTTGTCTAGCTTCATCTTCCAGCCATTGGCTCATGTTATGCCTTTCTCCGCTGGATTGAAGAGCCCGCTATCAAATATGCGTTTCCCATATAGGTACTTCTAGATTGCAATCCAGTCAGTCCGCAGCCAGGCTCTGGCCTTGACAGGATTCTAGCTTTACAATGCATGGCATGGAGCCATTGGCATCAGTAAAGAGGAACATATTTAGAGGCTTAAACAAAATCCAGTGTACAGGGGAGACTAAGGCCAGAGTTGAGTTCCTGCCTTTTGAACAGGAATTCCCTGTCATTCTGACCGTATACCCAGCGGGGTGGTCTCTGGCTGCCACGGCACACAATGCGGTGCTTCCAGAAAGCAGCGATGCTGTTCTAGTCTTCAAACTGCGTTAGCCCAAAGTAATGATTCTTCTCTGCAAAAA